TTATTTGTTTAAAGTAACTAATAAAAAATAAAAAAATAACGACAAAAAATCAACAAAGAAGCTGTAAAATTGCACAAAAATTGATATTCAGCACATTGCCAAAACGACGACGTACGTTCCAAAATGTTTAAAAAAAACTCCGGTAATCTGCTAATATATTCAATTAATAAACACATTGATTTATTTTTGTAACATATAAATATTTATATATTTTCGATATTATTCATGAATCAAATATCCCCGAACCGTTTTAAAGTTAAATGAAACACAGATAATTTGTGCAAAAATATATATGAAAATAACTAATACTCTTTGTAACACGTACTAATTAAATAAATACAAATATAATCAAGAGCCTAAAGACATATACATGCAGTAAAAATAGTAAATGGATATTTAATCACAAACATATGAAGATAAAGAAATAAAACAGCTTTATTTTAATATTGAGAAAGAAAATTTGTTGATCATATGTTGATCCAATATTACTTATAGTAGAGTGAAATTCAAACTATTCAAACAATTAGTATAATTTTTTTTACAAATATGTGATATAAGATCTCACACTACTGGTACAGGTCAGTGGTTTCTTATAAGAACTAATATAATGTTTTATTGGATTCGTGTTTTGCTTAATTTGTCACAGTATTAAATCAACATTTTTTTCAATTAGATTATACAAATGTATAATTTTAATTTCGTGATATGAAACAAAATTAACAAAATTTCGGTCCGGGAAACAAATGTAAGAGTGTGTAGGCGTTTGCGCAACCCCGTACTGGTTTCGTTCATAAAGCAAGGAATGTCTAATAACTATTAATAAGACAATTATAGTTCAAAATAATCAGAAGTAAAATCTATTGGTTTGTGTACTAATAATAAATATTGATTAGGCCCTGTCTTCTGCGAAAAACCCCTATTAGATAATATAAAATAAGAAGATCTTTGAACATTTTCCAGAGCCATACGAGTATATAATCATAGTTCCAAATGATGACAAATTCTAGAATAATAGAACACATCAAAACACATTCAATGAATTTGTTTCGGTATAAATCAATATTTCTTTAAATGAAGTTGTCAAGAAGTTAACTGTATCAAAGAATCAAATTATTTTCGCAATTTGAAGCAAAGAGTTCGAAATTTCGGTACCCGCAATAAAAGTAGGAGTATCTGGGGGCGTTTGTACAACCCCGTCCAGGTTTCGCTTATAAGGGCAAGGATTTTAAGATTTAAAATTTAATAGGACAATTATAATTCAATGTATTTAAATAGAGAATCAAACAAAAAATCTTGTGAAAAAGCCCATGTTTTATTCCACAATTATGAAATCCTAGTTCTAAAATCTAGTGGTAAATTCCAGAATGATGGCACACAATTGATCTAATAGGTTTGTTTCGATAACTTAGAGTAATAAAATTAATTTATGATTTTGTTTTTGCGATTTGATGTGAAAAGTTCGGAAATTTTCGTTTCCCGCAACAGGTGTGCAGGTGGACCACGATGTCCAGGTATTTGTGCAGCCCCGTCCGCGTACCGTTTATAACGGCAAGGAATGTCTAATAACATTTAATGCGAAGACAATATATCTACACATGTATGTAGGTATCGCATTGAGTACTCATGCTCGTATCATGTCAAAACTCGTTCTCAAAGACAATCGGTTCTGCTTCTAGAAATAACTCAATCAAATCAAATCAAACTTACCGAGAACAACATATCATTAAAAAAATGTGCTAAAATTAATAATAATTGATTATGCTAAACCAAGTGCACAAGTGTCAAGGGGAAGGAATTTTGAAGACATGTTAATGAAATCAATCTTTAATTCAATAGTGACGTATGTGTTTGAGAACGCGATCATAGGATTTATTATGACAAACAAATAAGTCATCATAAATTTAATTAGCAAGTGCACTACAGTTGTAAAAAAATTCACATCAATGCAGTATTTTTTTCTAATTTTCTATCTAAAAATAGCAAGTGCAATACTGAGATTTTTGATTCAAAATTACCCAAAGAGGATTGTTATTACCTATCTAGTTCAATTACAAATATAATCCTGAGCCGCCATAAGATTTTTAATAATAATTACTTTAATAATAATAATTATAATAAGTTTTTTTTTATTTTACTTACTTAATTTATTTTTTGTTCTAAATCATAATAATATTATATTACAAAAAAGTTAGTGCAATTCTATAATTTATATAAATGCAAAATATGCCAGCGTTACAAAGAGATAATTTGTATTTGTCAAAATAGTTATTTTTTAAAAAATAATTAGTAAATTAAATAATGTACCTTCTGAGTACAAAATAATATAACGTTAATACATGATAGTTTTTTAATTAATTAAATTTTAAATATTTTAGTTCTAAACCATCACTATTATAATAGAAAAGCTAATATTAAACCAAGTCAAAATAAATATTAAAAAATAATCAGTTTGACAAAGTTCAGGATGTTTTTTTACTTTTTTCATTCAATTATAATTATTTTAGTTCTAAAGCATTAAAGAATTATATTAAAGAAAATAAGTGCAAATCTATAATTTAAATTTAAATAATTATATAAATAAATATTTAAAAAGTTACCCCTAGTAACCTGGTAATCAAATTTTTATTATTTAGATCAATTATAATTATTTTCTACATATTGGTTTTATATTAGACGTTCGTTTCTTAAACTCTATAGATAAATAGGTAAATTAAGTTTTTATTACATTAATATTTAAATAATAAAAAGGTTTAAAATAATAAAAAGTTCTGGTATAGATAAATATTGAACATAAGAAATTTGTGAGTTTTAAAAATTATTATCTAAAAGCGGTTCTGAATATATCTAAATTTCTTCAATTTTTACGAAAGGTATACTCGTATAATTTCGATAATAAATAATTTAGATCAAATTATGATTTAAGTTATTAAAATATAAAATTAATAAAAAGTCGTTCGGTATGTGAATTTTAATATTTATAATAAATAAAATAAAATCATTGTCAGTCTTTGATATCTAAAAAAAAATCTAACGCACATAATATCCATATTATCCTTGAGCTTATTATTTACACCATACAATATACAAAATATATTTTAATAAAAAAATCAATAATTGCACCTGCAATTAATAATTTCAAGGTGTGGAAATAATGATTTATAGTTAGTTATTAATTTAAACTAGTTATTAATTTAAACTAGTTGTGTTATACTTTAACTTTTACAAAAAGTAAATAATACTTCAATATACTTGTGTCGATAAAAAATAAATCTCAAAAAGCAATTTATCCCCAAAGTTTATTTTAACATATTAAAAGTATTGGTGTTATACTTTGCAATATAGAAAATCAAATTAAATGTAATAAAAATTACCTATAAAAGTGTAATAAATTCTATTTTAAGATACCATAAACACTTTTTAATCCGTAATTTAGAAATTTGATAGGTCAAAAATATATATAAATACATAATACGATTCGAGATATCGACGACGGAATAGACAACAAACTTGTTTTTCATGTTACACCTTCATTTGTGGGTGGATTGCTAATTATTATTATAAATAACTGTTATATATTATAAATAATTGTTTAGTTGAATAAAACATATATACCTTAAAAGATTAAAATATATATATATATATATATATATATATATATATATATATATATATATTATGTCGAATTTAATTCAAGTTAAAAGATGAAATAAGAAGTCATTGAAAGATTAACGTTGAAACAAATATAAAATAAAACCTTGGTAAGAGGATATTGTTTAACAGTACTTTCCTGCATAATTAGTCAATTTTAATATTAAATATTTAAAGTTATTATAAAAATAAACTTGGAAAAAAAACTAGCAATTCACATGATCTCAGTTGGAAAACAAAAGCTATAATGCTTCTAAAGAAGTCAAGATAGAAAAAACTAGAAATTCTGAAGATTTCAACTGAAAAACAAACTATATAATTATTCTAAAGAAGTCGAGCTCTATTAACAGATTGAAACAATCATCATATGATTTTTTTAAAAAAATCTTTTTGTAAACTGTCTACACGCCACCATAATATTCATTAAAATTATCAATTATAGATTTTAAATTAATTAGCATTCGTGGTACCCATTAGAATTTTGCATTAAAATCTATGGTGAATCATAAAACTAATAATAATTAAATTAAATTAATAACATGAAGAATAGAAATCGACTACTTGAAGAAAATTAATAATGAAATATATAGTATCAAACTTATTATATATATATATATATATATATATATATATATTGAATTATGATATTTTTAATCAGGAAGTGCGGTCCGTTAATAAAAACTTATTCACGATTTAAAGATTTGATGCGTGTAATGCTCTGAATTTTAAAATTCAACTGCCTAATTAATGACTAATTAGATATTTTTGCGTCACGGTATATTATTTATATTATTTAAGAGATTACAAAATTCTTAGAAACTCATAGTGTATATATTTATATATAATTAAAAATGGGAAAAGCTTTCTGTCAAGCATCCATCCAGAAATGAAAAATGAAAATTAAATTGTTTTTTAAAAAATGTGTTACGTTTTTTGTACCAGTTTCACTCAGTGGATAAAACACACAAATTCCTTAAAAAAAATATTAACAAAGGTTTATTAAATATTAAAATTAAAAATAAATTCAACCAACAATCTTGTCAAAGTGATTTGTGAAATAAACTATGAACGATCAAAAGACTTCTCAAGGATAATAAGTTATTGTTATAAAAAAATAGTTTTTACAAATTTTGGTTAAAAATTTCAGTGTTGCTGCGTACGGATGAAGGTCCTTAACGGCCGAATTTTTTAACAGGTCGGTGGGACTTTCGTCCGTTTGTATTGACACAAACATTTTTGGCTCCTATATTTCATATACATATTATTACACATGTATATATATATATATATATATATATATATATATATAAATGTAAGTATTTATATAAAAAAACAACTAATTATGTGTCAACTTATAAAATATATTTTCATGTATATACAATTAAAATGACTTCTATTTCTAAATATTACTTTATATAAATATAGCAATTTTATCATGTGCTACTAATTGTTGTTTCATTTTTGATTGAATTATGTTTTTCATCTTCATTATTTACTCTTGATGTTGTGGCTATACCATCAGAGTGAATAATAATTTTCTTCTTAACGTTAGTCACTGGCTTATCAACATTTGAGTCTAGTTTTCTCACAACTAAAATTTTTCCTTTCCTCTTTATCATTTTTATATCGCCACCATCAATTACCTCCATTTTATTTTTACTTTTCATATCTCCCATTAACTTAGATGTGTCGACAACTCTAAGTTTATTATTTTCTATATTTTTATCAGATTTGGTAGTATCACTCTTGTTTTTTGTACTTTTTGAAGTATCTTCATCATCACTGGAATCTATTGAAGAGTTGGGAGATAATTCTGAGTCAGATAAACTTTTATTTCGTATTGTATCCTTGAAGAAAATTGTTTATATTACATTTTTAACAAAAAAGGATAAAAAGAAAATAAAAATACTATTGTGCATTGTGTTTAACATCTTACATTCATATTAGTATTTGTTTTTTTCTTTCTTCTGGTTTTCTCAATAGGAAGATACTTATTTGCTAGGGTTTGTACTCTAGATAAATCAAAATCTTGATCGATCCTCTTCACGGTTTTCAATCTAAAAGCCAATATATATTGTAGTATTATTTTAATTTAATATTGTATTATTTTTGCACCTTTGTTCTTCACTGGTTACATATAAATCATCTGGTTTATGATAAACATTATGTATATCATATGCTTTTTTATTATAAAACATTGCTTCACAAGTTGTGCATTTGATTAAGCATTCTGGTAATGCTTCTCTCTCAGTTTTTGAATGCTGTTTTTCTATATGTTTCTATAAAAATCATGGTGAATTAACAAAAATTAATTGACAAATAGTTCACAAATAATTTAAGGCATATGTACCTGTAAATTAAACTTCACCATGTATTCTGTTCCACAAAGATGACAATAATATACAGAGAGTGGTTCATTTGCATTATTTAATTTAATCTTTTTCGAAGGTGGAGCTGTTACAGTTGGTTTTAACATGGCTTTGTTTCTATTGTGAATAGATCTAAAAGTAATTAATGTTCTAGACTTTTTATTTGCAATTTTGTTTATATTCAAAATCTAAATTAATGACAAACCCAGTATGATAAGTTAAAGCTTTCTGATTGTAAAATACCGCATCACACTCCTTACAAGGCCGAACTTTGTCCGGTTTAGGAACAATGCTTGTATCATGACTTTGAAGATGAGCATCTAGCTTGCACTAAACAGCAAAATGATACAATTAATAGTTAAAACTCTTCTTTTATCAAATATAATTTTACAGATTTAAATCTTCTATAAAGTATAAAGTTTCAAAAAAATAAATGGATTATTATTCACTCACACTACCTGCAAAGGGAATAACATTCCGCAATAGCTACAATAATTTTTACTTGGCAGTTCAGGATGTTTTTTATATTTATGCTGAATGGCTTTTGTCACATTATCAAATAATTCAGTGCATCCCTCACATTGTATAATCTCTTTCGAGGTAGAATCTTTAGAATCACTTATAGGCTTGAGTTGTACAGTTTGTCGACCCTTCATATCAATTTTTTTATTTGCATGTTCCCTGATAAATAGTTAATTTAGGCAACAAATCACCAATTAATTGTGTTAATTCAGTTAGGAGACTACTCACCGAAAATGACTTTGAAGCAATTCCTGACTTGGGAAAGTCATACTACATAATACACACTTTTTAGGCTCACTGGACATTTTAATCACTGCGCAAGCATATAAAAAACTTTTATATTATAAAATGATTTGGTAAAAATATCAAAAAATAAGCTCTAAATAAATTTTCAGAGGAGATTGCAGAAAAATAATAGAAATTATGGTTCTTATTAATGAATTATATAGCTGCTTAAAAGCAGGTGAACGATTTATTCAAAATAACAAAAATATTTTAATATATATATATATATATATATATATATATATATATATATATATATATATATATGTATGTATTTATAATAGGCAAAAAAGAAAATGAAATTTAGAATTAATGAAGCAAAAGTTTCAAGAAGATTTTACTCCTCTTCAGTGCGACACATACAATTGTGGAATATATTAATAAAAACTGAAGAAAAAACATAAATATACCTATAATTATATGTGAGTTTATAAACGAGTAGAAAAATATACATACAAGTAGAAAAATTTGATCTATTGGAATTATATATACAAATATTGTAACTATATATTCTTGTTTATCTATGATATATATGTAAATATGTTGGAAACGTTTTATTGGAAATATTAATTGTAAGAAAATAATAACCACCTTAAACTAGGAGTGCCCTTTTTGATAAAAAGTTATACGTTTTATAAATTAACATAATCATTGCCTAAGAATCCTAATCAACTATAAATGTTAATTAGAAAATGGTTTGAAACTCACAAAGTTCCTAGTAATTTTAAATGATTTGTGCATTTTATAAATTTAAAACAAAATAAATTTATAATTGGTGATATATAATGTCATCGAAAACAGATTGTTAAATTCATTATAATCAATATCCATTATTTACAAGCAATACATTTTTTCTTAATCATCATCCCCACAAATTTATACAAAGGACACATACATATGATAATAAAAATTTGAAACACTTACCGTACAAACTGCAAAATTGTAACTATGATGTTTAAACGTAAAACTTTTGTTTAAATGATATAATAATCAATTATTTATTAATAATTAGTATTCAAAAACACATTTCTTTATAAACCCTCAATTTATGCTACAAAACAGTCAGCCATTTTGCTGCATCTGTCACTTGTGGTGTACACCAAACGACTAAACACAGAAACTTATATATGATTAATTAATTTATTTGGATGTTTACTTGATTTATATATAAATATATGTAAAAATTTATTTTTCATTGTGTTATATAATGAGTAGTAATATATAATCAAATACTAATTCAATATACGCAAGTTATTAATAATTTACCAAACATAACCTCACTTATTTGAATGAATCCAACAACTGTTTGAAATAATTACAAAGATAAATCCTAGCAAATAAATTTAATTTTTCAATAAATATGTCAAAAGCACGAGGATATGATGTACATGATGATGGTCCAGGATTCGTTGGTATCAGATTTTGTCAAGAATGGTAAGTTAAACAAAAAAATCTTCCCCATAATTTGAGACTGATGTAAAAAAATTATCTATTTAGTAACAATATGTTGTACCCCAAAGAAGACAAAGATAATAAAGTCCTGCTTTATGCTTGCCGAAATTGTGATTTCAATCAAAGAGCTGACTCAAATTGCATATATGTAAACAAAATTATGCACGAAATTGAGTAAGTACATATTAAATCATTCTTAAACATAAGCATTGCTTCTAAAGAATTTGTAGTTCTGATTAAACCTTCCATTAGGTTTTTTATTTAGTTTATCATTTTCTATGTTTTATCACTTAGTGAGCTGACCCACATAGTTCCTGATGTAACATCGGATCCCACACTTCCCAAAACAGAAGAGCACCCTTGTCCTAAATGTGGCCATCGAGAAGCTGTATTCTTTCAAGCTCAAACTCGTAGGGCTGAAGAGGAAATGAGATTATATTATGTATGCACCAATCAAAATTGTACACATAGATGGACTGAGTAAAACCAAATTTGTGTAAACAATCCAATTTTTCATTCAGTTTGTACAACATTCATTATACATATAATACATTCATGTTTATATGCATTTTTTGTTATTTTTCATATTTATATATTTAAATTTCATAAGTAATTAATTTTCAGACTTGCATTTAAAATCAATTACTTATTTCATAGGCTAGAATGCAATCTGGTGAATATTTTACTCAACTTATATCATTTCTTGCAAATATAAAAGTTGGATCATAAAGTTATTGCACATTTCTCCCTACAACAAAATATTAAATCATGCATTTACATAAATCTTATGATGTTAATATTGCAATTTATTTATGATTTGGAAGATATTTATGTGTATACATATTTTGGTTTCTAATAATTGGAGAAGTTCTTAACCACATACAAACATTAAATAGTTTATGCAGCTATAATGGGGCCATTCAAATATCACATAAACAACGCCCATTGTGTTAATCACAATGTTTTTCAACAAATTTTTAACATTTTCAGTATTGAAACCTTTAATGTGCTCACCCAATATTTGAATTGCCCCCATATTTGTATTATCATCACAAGGCATTTTACTGAAAACACAGAATAATTGGCAATATAATCACCAGATTGAATCTATATAATAATTTTAGTAACAAATTTCGTTTTATTAATTGTAAGTGATTAGTACATGCTAAATACACTTTATAAAAAAGTTACCTAAAAGTCCAACAACCTTGGTAATTATCAACAATTGTTAATATATCACATACACACATTTGTAAAAAAATGTGAATCACAGATTTTTCAGTCCTATTATTCAATCTTTTGTGGCTAGATACAATTTTACCATGTTAGTTTAGGTAAGAAAGCAGTCCAACTTATAAAACCAATATAAACAAAATGAATAAACCAGCTAAAAAAATCAATGGGAGGATTATGGCCTGTAAAAAATAAAACAAACTGAAAGTAAAAAGAAATGTAAACAAAGCTGTGAATACATATTACGTATATTCCAATAAGAACATTTAAATTATACATTAAAGGGGACTGGAACACATTTACAGATGATTTTTTCCATTGACAAGAGATTCATCTTGAAAATACTGTCCAGAATTTCTGAAAATAAAATAGTAAGTCAAATGATGTCAATTTGAGCATGTTGGTATAAGACAAACATGTTCAATTGTCGTCGAAGACTAAAATAAATGCTTATTTTGATAATGACAGTATTTTCAGAAATATAAAATATATTAATGCTAAAAAATTAACACAAAAAAGAAATAGAATTCTATACATATATTGCAGGAGATAAATATAAATCATAATGTACAAACCACACAATGTGCTCTTAAAATAATATAATGAAAGATACTTAAAATATGCTTCTACTTAACTTCAAAAAGTAGCTTTGTAGGATATTACAAAACAAAATAAAAATAAATTTATATTGTAAAAATATGAATCTCAACGAAATTATATTTCCATTACAATAAATGAAGGATTTTTAGCATTCGCATTTAAAGCAAATGCTTTTAAACTAATTTAAATGACATGGAATGTATTACTATATATTCTATTATGCAATTGGGTCAATGGCACCTTACTATAATTTAAATAATTCAATAAATATATAAATTAAATACACAGAGCCATTAAATTATCAAATCAAAACGGAAAATAAATTATGTATGGCAAATATTCTGTGTATATGTGTTTGTGTGTGTGTGCGTGTATATTTATATATTAAGTCATATTGCATAACAGCTAATCAGAATAAGTCATTTGAAACAGAAGTGACTAGCTGGTTGATTCTACATTTTCTTCAACTACTATATAATAAAACTTGCACACACTCTTGACTAGTTTCGATTTGTAGTAAAGTACAAATGCAATCTTATAAGAAATCCTCATCATCACTCGTAATTACATTATTTGCTTAACAATCAGATTTCTCATAATATGCATAATGTACTAATACTCACAATTATCTTAGTAAATTTTACTACTTTATATTAAATCTTATATAATGTAGAAATTGTTTCTATTAAGTCTATAAGTTAAGCTAATATTATAATAATCGAATAATTTAAATTAGGTATACAATTACATACACAATATTATATTAGGCATATTATCAGAATATATTCAAAAGTAAAAATTAAAATTTTGCTTACGCGGAACATAATTCTTAATGCCAGGTAATAAGTTACAGTTATACATGAAAAAACCAAATGTGACAAAAAAAGAATTATTATTTATGTGATTAAGCTTATTCAGCCAACTCACTTGCTTTTGGTTTTGTTAGTTTTGAAGCTGACTTGTAGAACACGTTCACCTAATGTGTAACCATTCAATGTCTGAATAGCAACCACAGCTTCAACATAGTTAGTCATTGTAACAAAACCAAAACCCTTACATCTGTTGTTCTGTGGATCAGTCACTATTTTGACATTCTGCACGGCACCAAATGGCCCAAACAGCTGCCAAAGGGCGTTCTCCTCTGTCTCTGGAGCCAAGTTGTATACAAAGATGGTCCAGTTTGCTCCTGCACCAGTGCCGCCTGTTTGTGCAGCATTTGGCAAACCTATATTTGGCAGGCCATCAGTCATTGGAGAAAACCTAAAACGACCAGAAGGATGATGAATCGGACCCGGAAAACGGCGAATATTTGCTTGTGAAGGAGTCACATAAGCAGCTGCAGGAGCGATGGCTTTGTTATTGTTGGTATTAGCGAATTTAACTGTTATAGGTTCGGTGCCGCCTGGTGGAATTGTTCCATTAAGCTCTTTGATTGCTTCTTCAGCTTCAGCTCTCTGGTCAAAGCGTATGAATCCAACACCCTTGGAAGCTGATGCCGGAATGGGATCCTTACCTGTAATGCTGTAGGGACGCGGTTGAACGCCCTCACTCAAGATTCTTGAAGCAATAATTGTACCACAAGAAGAAAACAGGTTTTCCAACTCCTGTTGGGTCATAGTTTTTGGCAATCCCGAGATATATAAATTAGCTCCTTTTATCGATTCGGAGCTCGGTCTAGCGTATGAAACTTTAATTTTTTTATTTTGCAAACATAACCCGTTTAGAGCTTTAATAGCCTTCGCCGCGTCTTCTTCTTGGAAATATTTCACAAAAGCGTATCCAAGACTCACCCTCGATTGCACGACAATCGGGAAAATATCTGGATATTCATGGCTTTTACCATATATCAATTTACAATTTTCTACTCTTCCGACACTTTCAAATAAAGATCTAATTTCTTCTTGAGTCATCGTTTGGGGTAAATAGTTAACAATCAAGTTTGTTTTGCAAGGTTCTTGTGAACCGGCGTTGCTGCCATTTTGCCCGACATCAGTCTCCATTTTTGTTAATGTTTCAACCCCTTTTCGTATAAAAAAACTTCTATATTATTTTATAAATTGAGTATTATTGATATTGCACAACGGTTTCTGAATTATATGTATTTTAATGTTCCACTTTTATTAAATATATTAATAGTTTTTTATGTAGCGTCTCTTAGCTTCAGCAATTTCGCTGAGCCGAAAAGCGTCAGAGCGTCCCTTGCTATAATCACTAAAAATGGCGAAATATCAAATTGATATTACACCTTAATTTAAATGCACTTATATAGTACGCGAAATAAAAATGTAGTTACGAGTATAAAATACGAATAAAAGTATTTCACAAATTATTTATGGACGATAATATTTTTCAGATCACTAACATTTAAAACTAGAATCCTCGTCAAACACAATCACAAACGCAAAACAGATTTCTTCTTATTTCTTTTCCCGTTTGTGTTAACATAGAATAAACCCTGCGCTTTTTGGATAGGAGGGGCGACTGGCGCGCTGCTTTTGCGGCGAGGTCGGAACTAGAATTAAAAAGAAAATCAGCTCGACTGAATCCGATCTGGCAACACCAGTGCGCCAGTGATCATTTTTAATCGCAGCGTCCTGTTTCCAACTTTAGACGCCAGACGCCATTGCTCTATTGATATTTATTTCCAAAATAGAGCAATTTAAATTGTTAACGAATTTCAATTGTTATCAGATTATTGTTTGACAGCGCATTGTTTTAAATAAGTGGTGTGATATAACTGCTAGTTTGCAATATGTCTCATAGCAGAAACGAATGCCGAATATATGTAGGTAATTTGCCGCCCGACATAAGAACAAAAGATATCCAAGATTTGTTTTATAAGTTTGGAAAAGTAACTTTTGTTGATTTAAAAAATCGACGAGGGCCACCCTTTGCCTTCGTAGAATTTGAGGATGCGCGGTAAGTCTTAATTATCAAAATGTATATTGATCAGGTTATTTATTTAAACTTGTTACCTTAGCGACGCTGATGATGCTGTAAGAGCTCGAGATGGTTATGATTACGATGGTTATCGATTACGAGTAGAGTTCCCAAGGGGAGGTGGACCAGGAGGTTTTCGTGGAAGATCAGGAAATAATGATAGAGGTAGTGGAAGTCGACATGAAGGTCGTGGAGGACGAGGACCACCAGCAAGAAGATCTCAGTTCAGAGTCCTCGTTACTGGTAATATTTTAATATTATTTAACTCTAATTGTAAAGTATCCTTAATGTTTACTATAAGAAAATAATTACTTTAATATTTATGCTTTTAGGCCTTCCACCATCCGGTTCTTGGCAAGATCTGAAAGATCATATGCGCGAAGCTGGTGATGTTTGTTATGCTGACTCTTTTAAAGATGGAACAGGTGTTGTTGAATTTTTACGCCATGAGGATATGAAATACGCTGTAAAGAAATTAGATGATTCCAGATTCAGATCACATGAGGTATATTATTTTTGGAAAATTCATTCGGTGATAATTATGAAATATTGAAATATTCATTAATTTAAAGGGAGAAGTTGCTTACATAAGAGTAAAGGAAGATGCAGGTGGAAGTGACCATCGTGATTATGGAAGGTAATATTTATTATTTAATTGTTGAGCAAAAATATTAAACATACCTGTAATATTTTTCTATCTTTGGTAGATCAAGATCCAGGTCACTCACTCCACGTAGAAGGAGTTCTCCCACATATTCACCAGTTCGTAGAAGCTACTCAAGATCTCTCTCTGATAGATCTAACTATTGAATGTCTTTGAATTTTATATTAACTCTTCTTACATTTCTTCTAAGAAGTACATTTTAAAGGAAAAAAGTAACGAAGGACATAATTATATGTATGTATGAGTAATATAATTGTACTAAAAAGAAAGGGAAATTTCAAAGATTATTTTATAAGAACGATGAAATTGTGAATAGTGTGAACTTATACTACATTCCTAGAAATTGAGAACATTATAATCATTCAAGTTGGGTTCTCTCTGGTCATTTTTGTTTAATTATTTTTAAGCGTCAACAAACATTACTTTGATCATAACTAAATAGGATTTTTATTTTGCTTTAAGATATTTGTGTACAGTACATTGAATTTTAGATATAGCGTTTAAATATTTTTTGCTTTTAGTGTTTTAGAATATAATGCTTCTATTAGTTTCATAATTTGTTATTAAATAGTTCCATAGGTAGCATCATCCTTTATACCAGAAATAAGATCATTATCCTAAATGTTTTATATTTTAAACTTATTAACAAATGCCATTTTTTGTTTTCCAACATATTTGCGGAGGACAAATCTGGATTATGGAAAAGTATGGATTATAAAATAATAAATGGAACACTAAAATTACACATTTACAAAAGGATTTTTCATTTGGATTTGTGGATACTTTTGGAATTATAAGGATGTGTGCAGGATCTTTGAAAAATTCATAGATAGGAATGATACAGGATTGCAAGGATGTTCAGACCTTTGTTTCAAGGGCTTCACCCTGAGATAATTATAATCATCTCTTCTTGTCAGTAACTGGATCCTGGGATTTAGGAAGGACTTACGGATGGATTTTTTTTGTTACTGGATTTGGTAATTGATACGTCCAATTTAATGCTATATTTCTTATCGCATGGTTAATGTATAAATTGCCAAAGTCTCTAATTCTTGTTTTTTAAATAACTTTATTAATTATAAGGTGCTATTTGTGATGGGCGCATTATTCTAATGTTTCTAATTCACATTTTAGATGTTAAATGTTTCATTTGAACTAATGCACATATGTATTAAAATGCATGCATATAAGTGTGGGCTATTAAAATACCGGGGAGACCAGAATTAAGGTCTTGTAAATACATCTTTAAGAATATTGGATTTTTTTTTGGAAACATTAATATTCCTGATCCATCCATGTAATTGCTAAGTTTTGAAATCCATCAAGTTTTTAATTTTGTATATATGTTTTTAAAGTATATGTGAGTGAGAATAAATATTTCAGGAGTTAAATCATTAAATTTTTTTGATATTCCAGCACTTCGCAAGATTTGCACTTACATAATGGACATGATTAAATTAAATATATTTATATGTGCTAAATAAAAAAAGGATGTTTCATTTATGTTTTTATATTATTATAAATTATATTTGTTAGTTATTTTTAATAGTCTGTAAATCCATATTCCAGAGACTTCAACTCTTGCTTGTGCTTCACGATGCTAAGAATATCAAAATTCATTAATATAATAAAGTGATTTATATTTTTTTACGATCACCAGTTTAAATTAACTGATTTAAATAATTTTATATAAATTTTAAATATACTATCTAATTTTACCTCTCTTTGTAGTTTCCTTCGATCCGTTTTAAGTGCTTCTTCTGATTTTTCAGATGCCTCCGCAGCACTTTTATATCTAACAACCTGAGATTCTAATCTAGCAACAACAGCTTGTAAAGAACTAGTCTCCTGTTCCGATTTTTGCAGCTTGAATCTCATCTCAGACAATTGTTTATTTGCTTCTCCTGGAAACAATATTAAAGAAATACCAGTCACGGATGTAAAAAATCAAAACAAATCTAAAAGTGAAGGGATGCTTACTTTGAACACTTTCAATATCATCAAATTCGCCCAACGGTCCATTGGAAATACCGCGTTTTCCGGAAGATCTAGCATTATGCAGTTCTTGTTGCAGGTTTTGGATTTCTTGTTGCATGCTCTTTCTTTCTTCAGCAAAATTCCGTAATCGGAAGTCTTGAGGTGAAATTTACGATCATTAAGCAAAACTTCGATCATCAATGCAAGAATTTATAAAATAGGTATATTTACCAAGAGATCCTTCGCCAGCTCCAGCCAGCAGTGCGGCGCCTTCTTTGGTGACTAAAGTTCTTTTGGTGATTTCCTTGTTTTCATCATCACATTCACCACCCACAATGACCAACCCTTGCTCTGCTATAAGTTCATCACGTTCTTCCAACTGGCCTCTGGTCAAGGAAAGCTCTTCCTTAGCTGTGTTACAGATCTTCGCAGTTGTTCGCATTCTCGACCATTTTCTTTGTGCTCACGCTAAAAGAAGAAAAGATTAATACTAATTTTCATTATAGTAAAGTATAAATAGTGTATAATTGAATACCTGTAGTTGTGAATGGGCTTCCTCCAAGTCTTCAAGCCTATCCTTATGAAGTTGCAATTGATAACTTGCTGCAGCTTTATCATTATCAAGCTGTGCATTGGCAATCATTGCTTTTCGAAATCTATCTTCAACACTTCGCAATTCTTGCCAAGCATCTCTATAATAAAAAATGATCAATAATTATCTTACATTAATTCAATTCCTTGGCAAATTTTCATTTTATTCCTTTGACCATCTTCTAAACTATCTTCTGAACTCCTTCTTGATGATAATGAGTTGCCATGTGATTTATTAATTGAAGAGTTTATTGATCTAGTGCTTCGTAAAATAGGATCTAGGGAGAAGAAGACATATAATCGTCAATTCTAATAATACTACAAATATAACATTTTATAAAATAAAGCAAATGGAATACGAATAGAAGTATAAATAGTGTATAATTGAATACCTGTAGTTGTGAATGGGCTTCCTCCAAGTCTTCAAGCCTATCCTTATGAAGTTGCAATTGATAACTTGCTGCAGCTTTATCATTATCAAGCTGTGCATTGGCAATCATTGCTTTTCGAAATCTATCTTCAACACTTCGCAATTCTGCCAAGCATCTCTATAATAAAAAATGATCAATAATTATCTTACATTAATTCAATTCCTTGGCAAATTTTCATTTTACCTTTGACCATCTTCTAAACTATCTTCTGAACTCCTTCTTGATGATAATGAGTTGCCATGTGATTTATTAATTGAAGAGTTTATTGATCTAGTGCTTCGTAAAATAGGATCTAGGGAGAAGAAGACATATAATCGTCAATTCTAATAATACTACAAATATATACATTTTATAAAATAAAGCAAATGGAATACGAATAGTTAAAGTTATAATAAAACTTAAATACTTGAGTAAAAATTGATATTATTAACTGATCCGAGAAGAACCAACAAGTTTACAAAAATAACGAGATTTTCTAATTGAAGAAACATCCCAAAAGCCACAAAAAATAATCTCAGACTTATAGAATAGTGGAATAAACAGATTAATTATTTATTATTAACCATTTTGCTGCGAGAATATATTTCACAGGAGTGAAACTGCTGTACAAGCTAGCGAGCCCCCCAAGATTTTCCAATCATTATCAATAAAAATGTATTTAAAAATTAAAAATTACACTTCCAAATGACTAAACATTGTAATAAATAAATAATAATAATTTAACTGGTGATAAATCTTCATTTTAACGAACATTTTATGTCGTCTATGGATGACAAAGGTTTAATAAACTGATAATTAAAAGTATATTGTATTAACTTTAATAAAAGTATATTAAATTTAACGGCTAATAATACTTTGCTATGGCAACAGAACAGAACAATTAAAAGACAAGACATATTATATAATATTACTGGTAGAGATCGTTGTAGTTTGGTTGTTAGTAAAAAAGTGCAAGTATAAGATTCTTATAAGATTGGAGTTGAAAGAGTTGTTTATTGAAGAATAGTTTTAAATCAGTTGCATTTGATTAAGGTAATCCTGAATATAGAAAGAGGAGTTTATAATGAATTATATATATTACATTGGGGATTGACGAGTCAATGTAGCCAAGTCATTTAAGCTTAAATTAGGTAAAAATCTCGGAATTTGAAACACCCAGCTGTAAGTCTGTCAATACTTGTACATTGACACCTAAAAGTTGTCTCAAAACCTACATATGGTAAAGTGTACGTAACATATGTAGGTTTTGAGACAACTTTTAGGTGTCAATATACAAGTATTTACAGACTTACGAGGTAAACTTACTATAATGACTGAACTAATACAACATATCCATCGTATTTTTTATTGTTTTTAATTCAATTATTCTATTATGTTGTAGTTGTGGTCAACAACATGTGGGAAAGGAGAAGATTGTATTCATATTAGAGATGGATAACTCACTCCGGAGTTATCACTCCGATACAACTTATTTCTCGGAGCAAATCCGAGTGGAGTTGTCTCACAGGATTTGTCATATCCGACTTCCCTAAATTAGTACTAAATCTGTTAACATGCAGATATTTGCTTGAGATTTTTTACTAATACAAAGATTTGGGTCGAAAGAAGTGGTCTTTTTCTCGTCTAACAGCCAGTTCTAGGACTTTCCAGGTATATAATGTCTCAAAATAATGCTAATTTGCATTCTATATTCTGTATACGATAATGTTTGTCCGTAAATGAGCTCTTTCAATGGTATACAACCAGGTAAAAATATTTAGTATTATATTATAACTTTTACACAATTATGATTTCATAATTGTGTAAAAGTAATAGTATGCTAACCGAACTAACTGATGTATAATTATCGAAAAGAAAATAATAAAAGAATGTAAGGTATTATTATTTTGTGAAAAATATTATACACAAAGATTTGTTCTTATTTCATATATAAGGTTCACTGCATTATTTTTATATAAAAATAAACATATGCAAAGAATTCTATATTTTCTCTTCAAAAATAATTACAAAATTGAATTTGATCCTCAAGTTTTTTGTCAATTTAAGATTTGTATGCACATATTGAAATGCACAAAATAGTGATTATTATAATAAAATGAACAAAAATGTTGGAACTATTTGTAAACTATTTCCAAAGTCTTAATAAATCCTTAGATATATTAACAACACACTAGAGAACACATTTGTGTCAAGTATTATGTTTCAAAGTTGTCGGAGTTGTGGAGTTGTTGAGTGGATATATCTCCTCTCTGAAGCGGAGTCAAATCCTAACCGATCCAGCTTCGGATATGATAAGCGCATCTCTATATGTATTATATTGACGAGTCTTGTGGAGCCAATACAACATATACATGGTATAAGTTGGGAAGACTTATGGAGACTATATATTACAAGCTACATGGTAAAAGATACCAAAAAACGTTGTTCGGACGAAAGATGCAGAATAAAATAACTTAG